TCTGATTGTGTCCATTGGAGTAGAGCAGTCAATGTGTTTTGTGTTGCAGGCTGCTTGAAAGAAAGCCGGACACTAATGCTTTTGTGAGGACAACCACAGCAGTCACCATGTTTAATGCAGGAGTTAAGGTAAAAACAAATATTTACAGTGGAAAGTAACTGATAAGAAGTGAGATTAGAAGCAATGTACTTTTACTTTTCTTTTTAAAAATTCAATATTTTCTGCCCTTCTTGCAGGTAAATGTCCTCCCTTCCCTCGCTGAAGCTTATGTGAATCTACGAATCCACTCAGCACAGTCATTACAGGAGGTATAGTCAGAAATTTGATTGTCCTTTTTGAGAACTCCTGATGTCTCATGACAAACACTCCAAGTAGAATAAAATACTGTCCTGTCCAGGTCATGGACCTCATCCATGCTACAGTGGGGGACCAGAGAGTGAAGATAGAGCTTGTTGACGGATTCGACCCTCTGCCTGTGAGCTCTGCTGATGAGAAGTCATTTGGCTTCCAGATCATTAAGAAAACAGTGTTGGACATGTTTCCAGCAGTAACAGTTGCTCCAGGTAAATGTCAGATGGACTTAATTGTATACATTCGAGTTATTTATGTCAAAGTATTTGATTAAGTTGTTTGATATAATCTTTAAATATGCAGGTATCTGTGTTGGGAACACAGACAGTCGACACTTCAAAGACCTGACCAGTAATATTTATCGCTTCGCTCCTTCCTGGTTTAAACCAGGTGATCCTCAGAGGTAAGAATTTCTAACGTTCAACACTGAATCAAATCGTTTCATCAAAGCCTGCTGTAGTCGTCATAAACTGCTTGTGCAGAATAGCAGCAAGGTATTACAAGAAGGCAATTTGTTGAACAAAGGAGAACTTGCTGCTATTGGTTGGTCCTGTTTAAATCACTTGTGCTGTAACAGTGTGACCTACTTGTACTGTTCAGGCTTAAAGTTCTTGTGGGACAAATATAGTAGGAAGAATTTCATGTGTGTGTGTGTTTTTTTAAAAACTTTTTAGCTCTAGTAGTATAAAGTTATTATTCTGCAAAGATAGCAAGAAGAAATGAAATGAAGGAAAAGATGTTTTCTGTTCCCTGCACACCATAAAGGAGCCATATTTTTTTCTTTCTTAGATTCCATGGCATCAATGAAAGGATTTCCAAGAAGAATTATGAGGAATTTGTGGTATTTTATTTTAATCTGATTCAAAACTGTGACATTCGGAAACTTCCAGAGCCTCACAGCTCTGTCCATGAACTCTGAAGAATTGACAGCGTCGATAACCATAACCATCGAAAATAAGCTAGATAATTACAAATTATATAAAGTGCTCTGAGGTGACAAATGTTATGATTTGGCACTACATGAATAGAATAAAATATAATTTAATTTAAAAGACCTTTTATTGTTAATTTAATTAATTTCAACAGCACCCAATGGGACCATGGCTTGGCTTACACCTTTATTGGTAAATTTTAAAAACAAATGATATTGGACAGGTATAGTGTGGACTTTGCTTAAATGAAATAATGTGAATCTACTATGTAGAGCATTTATGAATGAAGATTAAGATTATGTGGTAGACTGCTGTTAAAATTTATGATGTACATATGAAGAAATGAGTAAATATTTCTTCAAGCTGCTGATAATACTGCATATGGTTGGTTGGTTGTTGTACATACAATTTCAAACAAATGACTACTGAAATATGTATTTTTGAAATGTGTTTTCTTTCTTCTTGAGTCATAGTTAATCTTTTAAAGAATGCTGTGCATCACTGACTGTCTGTCTTTTGAAGTGGCACATGGACTTTAGACAGCCGTTGTTGAAATTTAATGGTTTGTTTGTTGCTGTGTTATGAATTTTACAATACCTAATTCTGGACACAATAGAAGACACCAATGAAATCACAGCTGATCACAATTCTTGTGTTTATTAAACAGCAAAGCAACAACAGTCATTCGTTTTTTATTAGACCAATTTTTATACTTAATACAGTAACATTGCGTCAAAATTATTCATTTATAAGGACAACAATCAATATTTCCGTTAAAGTGCCTGTTTTAGCCTGCTGCTGTTTTTTGATCTGTAGTAAATTCTAGACACTAGAATAAAACAGACAAGAAAGCAGATTTATTTCTTAACAGTGTAATATATAAATACATGTTTAAGCTTTAAATGCCCCCATTTGTGTTCATACACATGGGTATCTGGTTAGAGAGACTATAATAAGCATTGACCCTCTTTTGAAGTTTTCCCCTTTGATTACTTCATCTCACTGAATGGTGATCAGTATAATTTTGCTTTTTTGACAACAGTATATAAAAGAAACACAACAGATTTCTACAAATTAATGTCAATAAATGAAAACTATAAATTGTAAAGTAAGTGATTGTGCAATTATTCACCCCCTTCAAGCCAGTATTTAGTAGATCCACCTTTAGTTGCTGTTTAAACTTTGGGCCTGTGCCAAAAGGTCTCAGTCAGCCTTATACATCTGGGCACTGCAGTTTTACCCCATTCTTCTTTGCAAAACTGTCAGGTAGCACACGGTCCATGAGTAAACAGCCCTTTGTCCGTCCTCAGATTTTCACTTGGCCACCCCAGGACATTTACCTTATCTTTAAACCATTTCTGTGTAGATGTGGTTGTATGCTTCATGTCACTGTCTTGCTGGGAAACAAATCTTCTCCCGAGTACATCAGGTCGTCCTCCATGATTTCCTCATACTTTGCTGCATTCATTTTACCCTCTACTTTTACAAGCCTTCCAGGGCCTGCTGCCAGGAGACATCCCCACATCACAATGCTGCCACCACCATGCTTGTGTGCAGTGTTTGGTGTTCGCCAAACATGTGGACAAGATACTTTGCATCCTTTTTTCTCATTAAAGGTGCAGTGTGTAGGATTTAGGGACATCTAGTGGTAAGGTTGCAGATTGCAACAATCTGAATACCCATCACCCTCCGCGACCGAGCATGTAGAGAAACTCACTTGGTTGCTAAGACATAAAATTCGTCCAGTGTTTGGTCTGTCTGTATTAGGCTACTGTAGAAACACAGCGGTGCAACATGGCAGACTACTAGAAGTGGTTGTTGTTAAATTAAAAGGTCATCAGATGTCAGAGTGAGTGCACGCGAGTGTAACAGTAAAGTCTAATTACCTGTAAGGATAGCCTTGCTATTGATCTGTTTGCATCATTAGTTTGCCAGACTTTGCAGTCCAATTTAAACAAACTTTGTGAGTATTTATCCAAGGCCACCAGACCTAGGGCTGTTTTGGGGCAAAAGTAAGCTACTCAATTGCCTAAGGCATCGACATATTTTGTAATTAGTTTCAGACACCTACTCCAGCTTTAAAAGTCTGTTACTGACTTACACTGTGCATATTACCTTGTTCCTAAAAAAAAAACAAAAAAAAACAAAGAACAAAAAAGCTGTATGTGAGGAGCTTTCCACTGTAGATCTGCAGTGAAAAAACAACCTATTGCTACATATTGCACCAACAACATCTTGTATTGCTACCACATGGTTAATTTGCGCACACTGTGAAAGAATCAAGTATGATTAACCAGACTGCTTATGCTGCATTTAAGCATTTTAATATGATACACATGGGGATGATTTTTAACTAGGAACCATATAATACTGTATGCAGGTATCAGCTATACACCCAGATGTTGTTCTTGTGATACTGTAAGTCATCCTTGATGCGACAGTAGACGGAATTTTCAGCATCCCACAGCAGCACCATAAACCTACATTCATCTTATGATCATAAAAGGGAATCAACACCTCACTCACGAATAACTGAACACCTTGAAGAAGGCAGAAGGTATTGCAGGACTGCATTGCATAAATATATTTTAAAGGAACTTAATGCAAACTAAATCAACAAAAAATGATTCTTGTGATTTTTGCTCACTGCCTGTGGTATGAATAATGACAGTCTTTAGGGCCAGTCACAGCATTTACAGCTGTCCTTAAAGACTAAAGTACTTGGGCAGTTTTGTACCCAGGTGATGCCATTGGCACAATTGTAATAAGAATTAGGAGCATCAGGTTTAGCATAGACACCACCAACCCTTGTAGCACAGAAGTTGTTATCAGTGGTTTTGGTTGAAGTAATGATTGTAGGTCTGGGGTGAGGCGTAGTTTGAGGTTGATTCTTGTTTGGAGACGGAGTCACTGGGTTTGGGGTGCTTTCTGAAGTGGGGAGGGGAGGAAGATCTGGAATATGAGTAATAGTAAGTTGTTAGCATTTATTTAGTTCAGCTATCATGAAGAAAAGTCAAAGTAAAAAATAAACATGAAAAAACTTTTATGCATATAACTTTTTCTTACCCAAAGCTAAAAGAGAGCGGAGATAGTTGATGAGGACATAGTTTCCCTCTCCACAGAACTGTCCGGCAAAGTCATCCAAATCCAGAGACCAGACGAAGGCTCCTCCAAATCTGTTGTCTTGTAGGTAACGGACCTGAACAAATAATGGTAGAACTGTGCTGGCAACAGTATACTCACTTTACCACTACATTTACCTTGACTTAGTACATTTGGCATGTGGCAAAAGAATTTATGGAGCAACATCTTTTTACAAACACATAGCTACCTTAGTGTTGAAACTGTCTTTGTTGTCATATCCAATCCATTCGTTTTGTTTGGTGGCGTAAGGAACTTTCTGATCTTCAATCATGTGAACAGTGGCCCCTTTAAGAAAAGTACAAATCTAAACAGAGCGTTAAATTTCACATTTTAAACCATCGCATTAAAGATCTGTGTGATGACTTTATAGTAAAGTCACTTTTAGTGTCGTATTAATGACTAATAAAACACAGACTGAGCGTTGGATTCAATAAAGAGTTGCCATTTTCACCTCATAATAGGACAAGAAGCCAGCCTCCCTCGTAAAAGTGCCAGCAGCAGCAGGGCCGCTGGCTGGTGCTCCGACCTGACTGGACTGAGTAGAGAGCCGAAATCCTCGTCCATATGTAGCAAAACCCATATTTAGCTTTTCCACCGGTGTTCCCTTGTCACGCCAGTATCTCATAGCAAAATCCTGGAATGTGAATAGACAGAAAGAAGTTAAGTTCACTTTCAAATTTTGAGAAAAAAAATGGGCAGATTTCTTATGAAAACCTGCAAATAAAAGTGGAAATGAATGTATGTTTCACCGACTACTGTTGTGAGCATAGACTTTGACATAGTACCAGTCAAACCTCAACTTATGGAGAACAGTGTGGAAAACCTGATGACATTTATGTCTAATTCAGGTACTCACATAGATTTGATGCTTTTCTTTGTCACCGTTTTTCATCTCTTTAACAGAAAGTCGAGCCATTGAAGCTCCACATTGTATGTACTGTATGGAGTGATTAATTTTCTGTTTCCATTGCAATTTCAATTTTCCACCTCAACGAAGCTTTGAAATGTTTATTTGGATGTTTCCAATTTTTTGGTCCACTTTTTTCATTTGTAAATTGAAAATGTGCATAAACAACAGATAAAGAGATAGATTTGGAGGAGAGTTCTTTGTATTCTGAAAAATGAACTCCTGTACTCACGGTATTTAAATAAACATGGTCCCCAGTGTCATGGGATCCTTTATATAAGGGGCTGTGATGTCCAGTGACGCTCTCCCAGGTGCCATGAAAGTCATATGTCATCACATTAATAAAGTCCACGTACCTGGTCAAATAAATGTGAGATAAAGTTTACCAGAACAGCTAATCGTGGGGGTAATGTGAGGAATCAAACATGGGCGCACTTTGCAATCTCTGCAATGTCATAACCGGCATCAATGGTTCCTTTCCCAGCAACCACAGCAGCCGAGATCATTAACCTGGACTGCCCAGTTGATGTTCCCTCAGCCACGTAGGCCTCCAGCAGCTCCTGTAAACCGCAGAGTCAAGTAAAAATTCATTTTGTGGTTCATGTAAAACATCAGTTGAACATCAGAGCAATAACTCTAGATCTGACCTTGCATAACGATGTGAATCTCTGCTTGTCCTCCAGAGGGCTTCCTCTTGCTGCAGGGTATTCCCAGTCCAGGTCCAGTCCATCAAAACCGTGCTTTCTCAACAGTTTGATAGAGGACTGGATAAACGTATTTCTGTTGGCTTGTGTTGACACCATTGTAGTGAATCTGGTATCAGTTTGGAGAAGGAAAGGTGCCATCAGGAACACATAAATACAGCACATGCATCTTTATTGATTGTTTTATGCTTGATATCACACTTTTGACTTCCAAAGTTCCAGCCTCCAACCGCCAGCAATGTTTTAAGATTTGGATTTCTGTGGGAATACACAGATTCAGTTAGAGGCAAGAACTATTTTGTGCAATATATTATGAGTGATACTGCCAGAGAGAAATGAACTGACCTCTGTTTGAGTCCGTTAAAGGATTTGTAGAGTTCCTCATCATTCCACTCTATGGTGACCAACTCATTCGCTTCGTTAATACCAGAAAAGGCATAAATCAGGTGGGTGCAAAGGTTTGGATCAATATTGGAAGGCATAAACTTCCCAACGCCTGGTCTGTATTGGGACCAATTAGTGAAATAACACACGAGTCTGGAGGACGAAGCTAAACGTGAAAGAATAAAAGTTGTTTTCATTAATTTTTTAAAGAGTAATCAATGAGGAGGTATCGATGACTGTCCAGTGTTAATGGTGACTGCATCATTTATGAACTCACCCAAACTGCTGAGAGATAGACAAAGACCTTTAAAGTTGCAGATATAGTCAGTGAATATCATATAAAAAGTAGTTTTAAGGAAAACACTTTCATGATATTGTTTGTGCCTTACCTGCAAATAGAATTAGCTTGCTCATTGCGGTTGTGCTTGTCTGGCTCTTGCAAAGTGAAAAATAAAAGTCTGTCTCTCGCTGATGAAAAAAAATGCACAAAACTGTGATAATCATTAACCCTGAGCAAATTTTACGTCTCCAAGTTTAGGACAGGAAGCTGTTGCTTCATTCAAGTAAGACAAATAACAGTAGCTGATAAACAACCTTTGAGCTTATGAAGAAACCCACACAGTGTAACATATTGTTTTTTTAATGAACATTTTCTAGACGCATGTAGAAGACATGGCATGGTCACTCATTAGGTGACTATGAGCTACCCCTTTTCATATGCATAGGCTTCCCTAATGGCTTCAAACATGAAGTGGTGTAATATAAATCAGGGTGATTAAAAGTGCGATATGTTACTGTAATCTTTTCATATGTAATAGCTGGAAATGAATGATGTTTGTATTGCTAGATTTAAAGGGGTAGAAACCGCACCAATGTTGAGACACTATTCAGTAGAGTCTCAGGATAGTGAACGTGTACTTTAAAGCGTAAAAAAAGGTTTATTTGCACTGAAATACAATTGCAAACCAGAAAAACAAGTAAGGGAAAAGGAACGGTACCCGAGGATGAACTAGCAAACAGACAGTTGGTGTTGAGAGTAAAAGAAGTACAACCACACCAGGTCAATGTAAGACATTTAAAGAGGAGTGGGTGGATGAATTAATAAATGTCCATCATGGAGCCAATCATTTGTGTTTCATGTGTAACCAAAACTGGATCAATATCCAGAACTCAAGTTTTTCGTCTGGGAGTAACCTCAAAAAAAGGAAAATCGATCATCAGCAAGCCCTCATCCGCAGAAGATTTTCCACAGATGGTTTAACTGAGGTGTTTTTTTTGTGGATGCATGGATCTTAGATGGGGTGCAAAAAATCTTTTAGGCTGCATAACAGATTTTGAAAAAGATACAACTGCACAGCAAATGTAGGGTTTATAATTGCCCACTCATACAAGTGTTCATGTATTTCTGTATTTAATTCAGATTACACTGGCTGGATTGCATTTTGTATATGAGGCTACATATTAATGAACAGGTTAGCTTTATTGTTAGTGACTCTGCTGAATGTGTCATTCCAGTGTAGAAAAAAATACAAGTGAAACCCACTGTTGCTGAATAAAGAAATGATTTATTTAAGCATAGACACAGCATTTACATCTGTCATTGTAAACAAGGTTTGATGGGCATGTCTTGATGTATGTGTTACCATTGGAGCAATGGTAATAAGAATGTGGGTCCTTGTCATATATGTAGAGGCCGTCAGGCTTTCCCTTGCAGAAACCACTTCCAGAAGCAGCAGTTGTGGTAGTTCTCGTGGTGGTTCTGGTAGTGTAGTGGGTATCGACATCATCAGTAACATCAGTAACACCAGGATCAACAGGCATGTAGGACGTTTGGATGGCTTCCGGCGTGGTGACCCAAGTGTGATTGAATTCTGGCCATGCAGTTTCAGCTACTGGGAAATCTGGCAAGCATATTAAATACATTTAGATTCGAGAAATTCTGGAAGGAAGATTTGACTTAAGTGAGCAATGAGGTCATATTTTCAGGTGTGGTTTCTGCTTACCTGAATTCAGCAGAGTGCGCAAATAAGTAATAAGAGGATATGCTCCTTGTCCGCAGAACTGTCCAGCAAAATCATCCAGATCCAGAGACCAGACGAACGCTCCTCCGAATCCGTTGTCTTTCAGATACTGTGCCTGTGGAATATCAGTCGAGAGTGGTATATTTTAAATGTAAGTTTCATGGTTTCAGTGCATGGAAACATGTATATATAAGACTCAATGTGGGTGACACATGACAAATTTCAAACATTGCAAACCACTATGCAGATCAAGATCTTTCCATGCTGAGGGAATATGCAGCAGTGCTCATAGAGAGAAGTAGCTCTGAGCTTCTTTGGCTTGTGAGAAGTTAGCTCGCAAGCTCAACCGCTAAAAGGATTTCTCAGATAGTTTTAACTGATGTATTTTCTGAGGCCTAAAGTGTAGCATATTTCACAAGGAACAAAGTAAAAAATTGGAGATCAGATTTATCTCGGTCCACATTCCCAGTTTGGTGTCACATTTTCTGTCTTTTCATTTTATGTCTATGAGATCATTTTGATTTGTCTGTAACTGGACTGACTTCTAAAAGTTGGGGTGACAGCTTGGAGATCTATGACTAGTACTCCATATGTGATTAAAACTACAGTGTCTGGCAGAAATTCAGTGTCTATATTCATCCCACACCCACCCAACCGGTTGAGGCAGATGGCCGTCCCTCCCTGAGCCTGGTTCTGTCGGAGGTTTTTTTTCCCCCACGGGGGTTTTCGGTTCCTTCCCACTGTTGTGGACTGCTTGCGGACTGCTGAAGCTTATAGGGAATCCCAATGTTTTGGATTGTTGGGTGTTTCTGCCTTTGTTAAGCGCTATTAGATGACTTGTTGCTTTTTTTAAGATTCCAGACCTGAGATTATATTTGAAAAAACAAACTTTCAAGCAAGAGTGCCATCTTCTGCTCGGTCTGACTAAAAGCTGTATGTGCTGACTGTGCAGCTCCACTGTTGTCAGCTGTACACGGTGTCAGTACGTATTTAAAAAGTACTGGTACCTAAGTGGCAAGTGTAGTGCTACTTCTGTCTTGTTTGCATTATCTCTCTATCAGTGTGAAGGGTATGATGTTATGTCTTACCTTGATTTTATAGCTCTGCTTGTTATCAAAACCGACCCACTCGTCACCTTTAACGGCATAGGGAGCCTGTTGCTCCTCAATCCAGTGTACGTTGCCTCCTTGGATGAAACTGCAAATCTGTAGAAATGGAAGAAAATTGTACTTCAACATCCTCAAAATGGACATGAAGCCTCGTCTTAGTTTGAAATATCTCACTATTTACAAGTGATGAAATGTCTTAGTTTGACCTTGTGTTGTAATAAACTGACTGACCTCATAGTAGGACCAAAACCCAGCTTCCCGGGTGTAGGGGCCAGAAGAGGCCGGTCCACTGGTTGCATCTCCAACACCATTACCTCCTGTTGTGCGAAATGTGCGTCCATATGTGGGAAAACCAATCAGGAGCTTTTCAACAGGGGCTCCTTGTTGTTTCCAGTAATTCATAGCAAAGTCCTGTGAGGGGGGAAAAAAAACATTCAAATATTAAAAACAAAGAGCTGACTGAATATCCAGGATGAGCTTCATTGAGGTGTTCCACTCACCACATTGTAGTAGATGTTTTCGTCCTGATCGGTAGAGCCGCGGTACAAGGGGCTGTTGTGACCGGTGAATGGATCCCACGCTCCATGGAAGTCGTAGGTCATGACATTGACAAAGTCCAGCAAACTGGGAGAGAAAGACAGCGTGACAAAATAAGAATCATTTTTTTCTACAACTTTACCATCTTTTAGCTTTTAACCCCTGTTTTACTGTAATACAGTTCATAGCTTGCATTGTTTTTGTCATTCAGTGTATTTTTGTGTTGTCCTCATCGTTTGCAATCCGTATTGAATTCAAGTAGCCTACAAAGGAAGCAATATAATCCAGCGTTACTGTCTGTCATTTTATTTAATGAACTCGCTGTTTGCTGTTTGCTGCCACACAGTGCATCAGACCTGTGTTAAACTGTTACATGAAGAGCTGCAGGCAACAAGCTCCACTTCTCCAACTTGTCAGGAAAACTAACAAACTTTACTGTGCCCATCTTGCTCTGTGTGCAGCATGAAATCACTGCTCATGGCAGTATAGGAAAAAGTCAAATATTGATTGATTTTTTAAATTAAAAAAAAAAAAAAAAGTACGATTTTTATTTTTATTTTTGGGGCTGCAGGGTGGCGCAGTTGGTTAGCACTGTTGCCTCGCAGCAAGAAGGTTGCCGGTTTGCGTCCCGGTGGGGCACCGGAATCTTTCTGCGTGGAGTTTGCATGTTCTCCCTGTGCAGCGTGGGTTCTCTCCAGGTTCTCCGGCTTCCTCCCACACAGTCCAAAAACATGTTGAGGTTAATTGGTGATTCTAAATTGTCCGTAGGTGTGAATGTGAGTGTGCTTGGTTGTCTGTCTCTAAGTGTAGCCCTGTGATAGACTGGTGACCTGTCCAGGGTGTCCCCTGCCTTCACCCTAAGTCGGATGGGTTAGGCTCCAGCCCCCCCGCGACCCTAGTGAGGATTAAGTGGTGTATAGATAATGGATGGATGGATTTTTATTTTTTTGGGCCGTTCCGTAAAAAGATATAGTTTTTGCTCTTCTGCTACTCAGGAAGTGTTTACTGCCCCAGGAAAACTGGGAGCTGTGGTATTAAATTACAGTCTGTTGAATGTCTCTCTGTCACAAACTCACTTTGCCACAGCAGCAATCTCATAACCGTTGTCAATGTTTCCCTTCCCGGCAGCCACTGCAGCTGTGAGCAGCAGGCGTGGTCTTCCTGTCTCTGCGGCTTCCTTTTCAAAGGCAGCGAGGAATTCCTAAATGCAAGACGGAAATAGTCAACAATGATTTGTGTATTCAGGCATCCCAGATCACAAATATTTCAATGAAAGCATATAGAATAAAATAATGAATAGCTAGAATGCGAAAGTATATTAGAACAGTTAATGTGGGACTTCCAGACTTACCTGGAGGAGCACTGTGAACCTTTTCCTGTCCTCTGGTGGGCTTCCTCGTGCTCCAGGAAATTCCCAGTCCACATCCAGCCCATCGAAGCCATACTGCCTCAAGAATGCGATAGAAGACTGGATGAACGTCTGGCGGTTGGCGGAAGACGAAACCATGATGGTGAACCTGCACACACATACAGCAGTTGGTAGTTATATGACTTGGTTTTAACCATTATGTGAGACAATGTGATTCAGCAGCTTCATGATCTTGCGGACTCACTGTGTAGATCCAAAGTTCCAGCCGCCGACAGCCAGCAGAGTCTTCAGCTCAGGGTTTCTGTGCAGGAGATGAAAATGTAGCTCTGTTACTGACGTTAAACTTTTACATGTAAACATTAAAATATTTTGTCATCATCATGTCTTTCTGTTTTTCTCCCATCTGTTACTCATTTAACCACTTAAAAAAATCTATCTAAGGGGATGAGCGTAAAGATAGCAATAATTTTCTTAGCTGTGTAAAACAAGTCATGACTCTTGACAGTGTTTTGTGGTGTCAAACTCATGTGTTCATTTCACACTGGTAATTTTTACAGTAGCTTGCTTTTAACAGTCTTTTTTGTTTTACGCTCCAAAAAAACATCAGACTTTACAGTATTTACCAATATTTTGAGGCAAAAAAAATTAAAATTGCTGTTAACTTTACTTATGTATCTGAGTTTTGTGTTCCTTTGCAGGCTTTTGGTCTTATTTTTTGCTTTATTAATTTAATTTAATTATATTTCCATATTCTATTTTGTAGCAAAACTGATTCATACCATGTAGCCAGTTCTACTAAAGCACCCCAACGTCATTTCCTTATCTTTGTAATTAATCGTGTAACAAGCTAGAGTTAATTGATACCTCATCTGGGAACAACTCACCTGTACTTGAGGTCATTGAAGGCTTTGTAAAGCACGTCGTCGTTCCACTCGTACGTCATGAGCTCATTGGTGGGGCTGACTACTGAGAAGGCGTAGATCATATGCGTGCACAGGTTGGGGTCCACATTGGCGGGCATATATTTGCCAGCACCGGGTCTATACTGGGACCAGTTGGTGAAGTAGCACACCAGTTTGGTAGAAGACACTGTTGGAAAGCAAAGAAACAATTAGAATGAGGAAAGTCATTGTGAATAAGAAGCAAATGTCACCAATGAACAAATAGTAATTCATACCCATTTGAAGGCACATCAAAACGGACAACCCTGAAAAACAATTATTATTATTATTTTTGTTGTTTTTGCACGAGATAGCTACCTGTCAGTGAATTCACAATGAAATGAAATACTTTACCTGCCAAGATTGTGAGTCGAGCCATGTTTGCAACTTTTCTTCACCGTGACCTGCAAAAGTAAAAATAATTGTCAAGAGTTATTTTATGTTTACATTGTAGGTTTTGGAAGAATTAAATTGATTCTACATGCTCTTGTGCAGCAGATATGAACGCTGCACATAGTAAAACCTGTATCCCTCTAAAATGAATGCAGCTAAAATCAGAATCTGTGTGGATGCTTACCTGTTCCCAGGAACGTGACAAGTTGTGTTTCTACTGCAGTTGGGAGTCCTTTTTATAGGGTTGATAGGACATGGACAAAGGCTACATGCCAGTGACGTAATACAGACACTTCAGGAGATTATTATTGCTCTGGTGCATTTGATCAGAAAGTGACCACTGATATCTTTGTTTATTGCCTAATAAATCTAGATCAGAGCATGTAAGGTTACATAAACTTGCCTCTATAAAGTGTCTTGTATTAGGTCAGCTGGCTGATCTGAACAAATAGGACACCAAATAAAATCATTAATATATACATGATGTTTTATGTAACATCAGGATTAAAGTAGTTTCCGTGGTGATCTTATCATACACAACTAACAACCTGAAGTGGACTTTAGTTCACACACTGATCTTTGTCTCAAACTTCAAATACAATGATTATTTTCTAAATTAACTGAAGAATTGTTCTGTCTTTGAAACAGTAATTGTAATTCTTTGTTATGATTGAATTGGTTCTGTTGTCAGATACAGAAGTCAGAAACCCAAAGAGCTTCACTTTACTATCACATGTGCCAACAATAATAATAATAATAATAATAATAATAATAAAAACAAAAAAAGAAATAATCACATTTGTGAAGCTAAAATTAACAGATGCTTGGCATTTTTCCTTAAACAAATTATTCAAACTGAGTCAGGCATAGTTGTCGATTTTGGAGTCGAAAAGCAAACCAATTCATCACTAACTAATCATTTTTACTGTAAGATATGATTTACATTTTCTCAATCGACCTGCCAATTTAATTTGCATTTCACTTCATGAGTTCAAACAACAAACAAGTGCAAAGTACCCTAATAAGCTAAGTGAGCACTATCAGGAAGAACACAAAGCTTCACAACATTGATTTTTTTTTTTTTTTATCTCAGTTGATCCCTGTGATACTAATATAACCACCTAATATCTGAAAGGACAGTTTTTCCCTGGTATTCTGGTGTAAAGTATGAATATGATTCAGTGTGTTCTCATGTCAACCTTGTCCTCTTCAGCATTAACAGGAAACCCAAAAAAGGAAAAGCCTTGTTTGCTATTCTCTACTTTATGATTTTGTTAGTTAGGGGTGCAGTAATAATAACTTACTGTAATGTCCCACAACGTCAGAGAACACAGTGCCATATCGGGGTCCATTAGATAAGATGTCCTTTTTACTGCGAGCGGTGTGGCCTTTGATGACATAACTTTGCATTGTATTGAATGGGGTATGGTGATGAATCAGCCAGGGTTCAACATAATAACACCTTTGTAGCTTTATTGCCAGTTAAATAATGTCAAAGGAATAGTTGGACATGATTTCTTGTTGACAGTTAGCTAAGATGACTGAATTGAAAACTACAACCAGCAGCCAGTTAGCTTCACTTAGCATACAGACTGGAGACAGTTAGCTAAAGGTAGCAAAATCTGCCTACCAGTACGTCTAAACTTAATAATGAATATGCTTTGTTCATTTAATGCACACAGACACAAAATAAAAAATAAAAAATCACAAGTTGGTGCATAACTCCTAGGAAAAAAAGTCAATTGCAATTTTGGGCACTTGTTTCCAGTCTTCATGCTAAGCTAAATTAGCCAAATGCTCTTGGTATGTTTTGAAGGGTGACCAGATGTCCCCGATTTCCGGGGACAGTCCCCGATTTGGGTCCCCGGTTAAAGCTGTCCCCAAAAATGTCCCCGATTTTGACACTGGGAGGTAAGTGCAGACGTGCGCTTGTCATGAAAAGAGGTTCTTGAATCCTTAAAAATGTTCAGAAAGTCTGTTTAACTGTATGTAACTTGAATCAGCAACGTTGGAGTCTTTCTTTATTTCTTTCTTTTTTATTTTTTTTTACCGCCGTGCTGAAAATGTCCCAGATTTTCATTTCAGAAATCTGGTCACCTTAAGGTTTTATTGTCTAACCCTCAGCATGAAGACAAATAAGTGTAATACCCCAGATGAGGATCTTTCCTGTTGGGTTTTTTGAGTAAATTATGGGCACAAGTCTGTAATCCAAATTTGCGTGACACTGTTTAAACTCCTGACAGCTTATTTCCACTCAAGTGTAAATAGTTCCAAGCTAACTTGTTCCTTTTTTTCTTCAATTTCTTTATTCTACTTATAAATTGTATTTTTCTTTCCTTTTTGTTAAAATGTTCTTGTTACTTCAGTCTTGATGTTTTGCCAATAATAGATTCAAGTCAAAAAAACACAAACTGTGGGAAATCGTAACTCTAAGAATTTTTTATTCAAAGAATGATAAACCTGGTTATCCCTTTAAAGTTTAAACAGAGCAGCAGAATCCACATTCATATACGACATATAAACACCTGCACTTTATTTAAATTAAGGCAAGACTGGCTTAATACACAGATGATGTTAGGAGTCAAATGAACAAATGCTGTTACATAACGATTAATAATCTCCATTGTGAGTAGATTAAGGAGACCAGTTCATGAGTAACTTCTGATTTTACAGCAGGTTTATGGCTGCTTGCTGATTCCCCAAATGGTTTGAGCTTTTGTTTTCCATTAGACCGAAGTGCAAACTGACAAATGAATTATTAACCTCTGAAGATATTTTATTTTCCTTCATCGATCACATTCTCACTCTCATACGTTCAGCCAAGTGTATGAAACAAAGAGGAGGCTGTCTATGTTCTGGGAATACTTCTGACGGTGAAAGTTTGGTGTGCAGCCCTTGTTTTAAATTTCAAGCGTACAAAAATAACACAAATCTCGTTCTTGAAATTAGCTGAAAGAAAAAGATGCAATAACAGTAGTTAGGTTGGTCCTTGCAACTGCCTTTATCAACATGATAAACGGATCCATTTCTCTCTCGTGTCATGCACTGCCAGCATCTTGACAGGATTACTGAATGTACGTACAGGCATGTGCATGAACACACAGTATCTTTGTTCTTAAAGCGAAAGGTAAAGCTTCCTTTTCATCAGATGAAGAAGTGTCTCTGTAGAAAGATGGTCCCAACTTTTCCACCTTTTCCTCAAATGCATGAAAGTTGTGTTGTCTCAGACGATAAGGAGGGTTTAAGAGCTCCTCAGGCTTCCTCCTGCAGAATTTCGTAGACCACAAGTTCCTTCAGGTTCTTGACTCAAAGTGAAGGGTACAAGCACGGTGGCAAATAGCTGTGGCGAAGTGAGGAGGGCGGTTTAAAGTTACGCCACGGAGTATATGGTATTCATGGGTGAGTGGAGCTCCAGACCACCACCAAAGTCCAACTCCCTGACATCTCTCCTGGTTCCTGTGTACTGGCCAATGAATGAGCCATCCTCGTTGAACGGTATCTCACCCCCTTCTCCATATTCCACCAGACTGTCATCGCTGTCTGATCGCTTCATCATCGCCTCCATAGACGGCTGGCCTCTTTGCAACCCTCTTTCCTCCTCTCTGCAAAAAAAGATACAATTCGAAGTACATTTTGTTTTACATCAGAAAAGATGTAAAATGTACTGATGTTTTAATCCCTTTTTATCAATTACTTTACTTGCAACAATAAATTAAACGATATATATACATACCTTCGAGGGTAGGGCAGAGTGGAGACACGTGTTATCCTGAAAAATGTAAACAGGCTATTTGAGATGAGCGTATGAGAGGATGAATCACATTTTATCACATTTTAAGTGCCAGTAATCTGCTAAATATGCTATTTAATTAGCTCCAAAAGTCTGTTCAGGATTGTACAGTTTAAATGTCAATAGTGTCAATGTGTCAGTGTTTAGTCTTTTCATACCTTTCAAGGGACCTTGAGTGGTTCAGTGCAAAAACAACAGGGTTGAGGTTTTGGAAAGAAAAGGAAGGGTTTAGATAGAAAAAGTAGAATAAAAAAATATCGTCAAAGAGTTATCATAAATAAAGCAAAAAAAATAAAATAAAAATAAAAAATCTGATTTGATTTGTAGCTGTGTAGCATCATGCTAAAATTGTATTCATATTAAAGACACCCTGCAGATTTTTTAAAACTTTATAATAGCATGATGGAGCAATGGCTTTAATGAACTGGTCCAATTTTTGTGTGTTTTGTGCACATGTGGGTTTGCGGCATGATAAAAATTGTTGTTTCTGGTCTGCTGTTGCAGTGATGCTGCAGAACAATTCTTATGCACAGCTACAGAGCAAATAGAAGTAAAGACTATTATATTTTTAAACAGTGATAGGGATTCAGTGTTACATCATGGACAATATAATTGTGCCTTACATAATTTACAGTACAGGAGTGCTACATTTGAGGTGCCCTAAAATTCCTGGCAGCTGTTGGTTGTGCTTTTTACCGATAATCAAATGACCCCTCCTGATCTTTGTCATCCACCGGCTCCAGCGAAATGTCCTTTTTTTCACGAACTGAAACAACAACAAGCCACCATGTTACATTATAGATACTTGACATAATAGATGGTTGCAGCAACTTTTGTTATAGATTACTCTGGCCAATTTATTTAGTTAGCATTTTACTGATAAGAATTGGCCTTTTTAATGCCCTCAAATGTTTTCTTTCATCCAAACAGCAGTCTAAAATCCAAGGTCTGCCTTAAGCAATTGGTTGACCGCCAAAATAGCTGTACCTGGGTATTTTCCCCCTCGACTCCTCTTGATGAAGCACACGATGAGGAGGATGAGCACGATGAGGGCCACGGCACACATTATTCCAATGAACCACCCCTGAGTGGTGATGTCCACTTGGTCCTGAGCGTACGCTGAGACACACGAGCACACGCGTCATCAAAGTGCCACTCAGCACCTCAAAGAGTTTATTTGGTACAAAGCCAATTGTGTTGATGTACAGAGACAATAGTGAATTTACTTTCTGTGGTGTAGTGGGGCGACTCCTCTGTGTGCCACTCCCCTAACCCGAGCCGAGTTCGCGCTGCCACCGAGAATCTGTATCGTGTGTAGCGGTCGTATCTCCGGATTGAGAAGCTGGTTGTATTAGGAGGGAACTCCTCGACCCTCAGCTCCTCTCCTCTGGTGGTATTCACTGTGGAGAGAGTGGACATTTCTGTGCAGTCGGAGAACTCTTAAAGCTGGTAGAATGCACAAAACTGAGCTATTAGGCCCCTCACCTGCTCAGTCAGTGGCTACACAAGTGTTCATTACCCTCTTGAGAACATACTTCAGTGGCATTCTGGTGTGTTGAGTGCATATTTATCTGCTGCAGGGATGTGGACCTAAACTGATTCCTCTTGTGGTATTAGCACTTGGCTGTCCTCCTACTTGATGCTCTGAGAGTGTATTTGAGAGTGTTTGGGATGGCGTACCTGTCTGGTACTTGAGGGAATACCCCGTAATGATACCGTTGGGCTCCGCTGGCAGGTCCCAGTCAACATAAATGCTGTCCAGATGTCGCTGTTGGATCCTGAAGGACGTGGGAACAGACGGTACTACAGACAAAAAGGAGATGATGGATATTGGCCTGCTTGTGCTTTCTAGAGGATATTCTATATTACTCCTATTCCTCTGGCTTGGATTTATTCTGTTCTTACCTCCTTCAGGTGTGGAAAAGTGTATGTTATTACTTGGCGGCCCTTCGTATCGATTATTTGTCACCACTATGTACATCTTGTAGTTGCTATAGGGAATAAGCCCGGTGACAACCCCAGAGGGCTCCGGGCCATTGTCTGAAAATGATTTAGACTTCATCGCTCTGTTGACCCACAACCACCTCAGCTGGCTGCTGTCCCTCCAGTAGTACGCCTGAGAGACGAGAGGCAGCACACGTTTTAGATCTGATGCAGTGGTATTCCTGTTAAATACACTTAATATTTTGGTCAAGGAACTTTGTCAAGCATTAAAATTCCTATCCGCATCTGCGTACCAAAACCACAACCTGAAACAACCAATCGATTGTCATATCTAAGCCTTGAGCCAATTATGACATCTATAAATAACAAAAAGATGTATCCTAACACAGTTGAAACAACTGAAAAAAAAAAAGAAAATAACGTTGATTTTTTTGCAAAGTGAAATGTTCAAATATGGCTGAGATGAACTAGGTCAGACGATAATCATTCAGAGTGAGAATATCTTCATTCTACCAAAAAAAGATGCAAACCTACAAATCTTTTTTTTTTTAAAGTCCAATATGAAAAACTAACTAGCATCAATTTCAAATAGGGCCAAGCATCACAAAGACTAATAATCCACAAAAATCTAATCCATGTTCGTAAGTCAAGCAATGTAGTCAAATGCTACACAAAATATGGCCATCATTTATATATATTGAATGAAAACAACTAATAATAAATTAAATTTGAATTCATTCAACTGTCAACAGGATTTTTTTTTTAATCAGTAAGACGTTTCCGATCTGCCTCATCATTTAAACTTTCCTTAATAATATCGATCACTTATTGTGTTTTTGCTAATTTAATCAACTTCTGTTTCTTTTTTCTTTTTTATTCTGTGTATTTTGACATATATTGTTTACCTCACATTAGTGACTTTTTTAATCATCTATTTATATTTCTTTATATATTTATATTGTCTTCATATTATAGGCTCCAGCCCCCTGCGACCCTAGTGAGGATTAAGTGGTGTATAGATAATGGATGGATGGATGGATCTTCATATTTATTTATATGATGCTTGACTTGGGAGTTTGATCTAGGGGTGTTTTTCTTTCTTTCTTTCTTTTTTCTTTTTTTTTTCTTCAGATTTTTGGTCGCCGGTGTGAAGATGCTGTTGTTTCACATTGTGAATTTCATGCTTGATGGAGCATTAATAACTTCGGCGTGTGCAGGATTTCTACGTTCTCTCTCAACAGTTATTACCCCTTTCATGACTATTGTGTCATTTGAACCTTTTTGAAGATAATTAAAGTGCTTTGACTGTCAATACCACTGGTTGACTCTCCTAAGAAAGTATTGTGTGTCCTCTGTTTCTACTGTCCATCAACATAAATGTAAGCTATATTTAAAGTCCATTATTCTGTGTTGAATTCACAGTACACTCACCTTGTATTCTTTCAGTTCTCCCATAATAGATTCTCGGTTCACAGAGTCCCAGTGTACAGTCACCTGAGTGCTCTCGATGTCGGACACTCTCAGGTTCAGGGGTGCAGTTATTGGACCTTGGGGGGAACAGAGATGGCACAGTACTTAGTCTTTGCTATCAGTGAACACACAGCAAGTGATAAGAGGAACAACTTGTCCCGGCTTGTAAAAAAACAGAAAAAAAGAGAGAGAGACAATAAAAACAACAAGGGATTACATTCAGAACACAATGAGAGGTTTACTCCTCTGAAACAAGTCACGATTCTCTGTGAGTTAAGGCTCAGATTACAGCAGGACCGTAAACAGAACAATGTACTTTCCTTTTCTTTGTGTTTCTGCTGACAACTAACCTAACCAGAAAAATAACCTTCTGAAGAAAAACGACCTAAACGAGATGACAGAACTGCTTTTTACATTCAGATGGTAGAATATGTAGACAAACATAACATGAGACGCTTCCATAAAGGTCATGAATAGTTGAAAAAAATATGAAAATGATGTAAATCATCTATTATGGAGCTCAAAGTCACCAACTCTAAACCCAGCTGAGTCTCTGTGGGAGGTGTTGGAGGGATGTGTTATGCAAATTTGTATTCATCTGCCTTTGCATTAACTCACACCTTCTGCATGGCCAAAATGAACGACTTTTATGCTCACACTGTACGGATCAATGGACCACTCATAATTAGGGATGGAGAGTTTAACTGATAATTTCAACACTGACAGTTAAATGCATTACTTTGAGCAATTATGAACAGAAATTTAGAAGCATAAAAGGAAAAGTGTGGAACTGCTGATGGTTGAAAAGAACAAGACAATGGGACCTGTCTCTCACTACATTTTATAACAGGTCTTTGACAGCAGTCAAGAGGGAAATCTGGCTGTGGAGCAGGTCAAACTGCGAGACAACCGAACAAAATTAATGGCATGCCAGAAACCCAGCTGATAGTTGGACAGACAGAGAGTTGATCATTCTTACAATTAATCAGGGGCTGTGACCACTGTCAAATCGGATGGCAGCTGCAACCAATCTGGCAGAAATTCAGGTTGTAAAATTAGTCTGGGAAGAGCAATTTGGGGTTAAAACTGAGGCTAATCTGCCCAGTGTCTTGGATTGCCTGGCCTCAGATTGCATTCTATACCATCAGCAAAACACCAAATGAGGGGATGTGCCTCTGAGGAATGCTGTAGTCCCTGAAGTTGAGACCAAGCAAATAGCAAATAGTTAAACGCAACTGAAGTTGTTCTGTAGACTAATACTTGTGGATGGTTGTCTGCATTACAGTGCAGTGAATTTAGGCACTTACGGTCTTCGCCAGAATACCCAACGACAACAGGAGACTCTGGTCCCAGCCCAAAGTCGTTGACAGCCTGGACTTTGATGTCATAAGGCGTGAAGGTGTCTGCATCGTAGATGTAGTATTTCAGCCACTTGGTGGTTGCGTTCTTCCACTCCTCTCGAGAATCTCTCCTCTTCCACCACACCAGATACTTTAGTTTGGGTCCGTTCCACTCTCTGTAGGTCAGAGGCTGAAAGCATATTTTACAGCAACCAGCAGAGTTTTTAATTGTAATAGAGAAAAAAAATATTGAATATAAATATAGAGGTTTGACATGGGTTCAGTCCTTATTACCTCCCAGCTGATCTCCATGTTGTTTCTCCATGTACCCACACCTTTTACATTCTTTGGGATGACATCCGGGGCTGTTCAGAAAAAAACAACACCAGGGTAAAATTATTAATGTGAAGGAATTGTTCTTGATTTTGGGAAATATAATTATTCTGGCTAATATATATAAAGCTGTAGGCAGGAGACATTAGATTAGCCCAGTGTAAAGATTGGAAGCTGGGTCGACTTTGTCCAAAGATAAACAAACACATTTCATTGCACCACTAAAGCTCATAATATAATATATATAGCGTTTTGTGTAAATGATTTACACTGTAGAAAAACACAAGTGTAAAAGTTGAGGGTCTATGAGCTAGTAATGTGTTGGACTGCCTGAGAATGCCTCATCATGATGGGAAGACTCCAAGAAGTCACCACATCCAGGAATGCCTTAACCCATATATCAGTTTTTGAACTGATTAGACAAACAAGGAATATCTCCAAGCTAGACTGCAGGAATTCATATAAATAAATGCACAATGCTAATAAAACCCATAACCGCCTGGTAAATCCCTTTACATTTTGGAGTACTCTTAAACCTGGGGTCTGTGGTGACATTCCCATGCATGGGAGTAATGACTGCATAGAAATGGAGTGGACTACAACAACTAGGAGTATGGTGGAGTCTGTGGTGCAAGAATCTTAGGAAGCATCCAAGGAAAGGTTTCTGATGCTTCAGATAATGAATACATTCTGCATTCAGAGGAAGAACTACAGTCTGAAAAAGAAAGTGTTTGTGAAGTGTTTGTGCAATTACTCTCACTGCCAGAAGGGGGAGACAAACGTTTTACACTACAGATTTAATTAGGTAGGTTTAGACATGTTGGGAAGTGGATTTTTTGTATTTTTACACAGAGCCAGGCCTGCTGTTTCTCATCTTTAAGCTAAGATAAGCTATTCTGGCATCAGTCAATCAATAGTCAAATTTCTCATCTCATCATATATGCCAGATTAAAAAAAAAAAAACAATATAAAATGTGTCGTACACATACTCTTTCCAATTTGTTGCCTCATATGACTAACACATATTTCATTAACATCAAACCCACGTGCGCCACTGGTCTGGAATCGCATAGAAGGACGACTGGGTTGACTCGCTCCGATTTCATTAATGGCGATGACCCTGAACTCGTAGTAGGTGAAAGGAGTGAGGTGCAAGATGACCGAGGTGAGGGTCCCTGGATACGTTGAAAGGTTTCTCCACTTCCCAGGCAACCAGTCGTCGTCATCATACTGCACTAGGTACTCTGTGAGAGAGCAAAGAATGTAGAATAGGTAGAAGATGTGGAGGATATGTAGAAGAATGTAAAAAAAAGAAATGCAGACAAAATTTCTGGAAGATACAACAAAAAACAAAAAAAATGTTTCATGGGTTTTACCTGTGATGGGATTGTGGTTGCTGTCTCCAGGAACCCAGCTGAGTCTTACAGTACGCTCATATGGATCCGACAACTCCAAGGTAGTGGGAGGATTTGGACGGTCTGCGCACAAAAACATTAAGATTTAAAAGCCCAAAATGCCACGCGGTTGATGAAATGCTTTTTATTTGAAGTGTGTCGTACCCATCACCATTAGGTGCGCTGAGGCAGACTTCTGGTCCAGCTCATTCTTGATGACACATGTATAGTTGCCTTCATCGCCTCTGTTTACATTAGTAATGACCAGATTTGATTCATCCAGAGTGATCCTGAGGAAGTGAACACAACTGGTGAGATCAAGATGCTCATTCTGTCACACTGAAATTAAGGCTTCATCTGCAGTTGTACAAACAAGTCTTATACATATGATTTATTTAACATATAGAGTCTGTATAATGTGTCCCCCCCCCCC